AAAGCATGGGATCATTCAAAACATGAGTGCATTTGATTATAATTTGAAAACAATAAAATTCTAAAAATTTTTAGGGCGTGCGCCGCGGCATGTTTGCCTCTGTGTCATGCGCTACAGTTCGTGGCACCATACGCCGCGGCGCAATTGCATGATTGACAGTGAATTCTGCTGTCAATTTGACAGCTTTTTAGGAAACTTTTGACGCTCCTCAATTCTTCATCCGATGTTCGGTTGACATGAATTAGGTGTCTATAGAAAGATCTTTCTGAGCTATAACTAATAGCTTTGGTTTCAAAATCAAATAACTACTCAATCAAAATCTAGACAATCTTTTCAAAACTTATACTTTTTCAACACTTTTCACAAAACTATGTGTCCAATCCATTTATCAAAAGCCAAAAGTCATTGACACCTATTTGATCACATGCAAATCATTAAAGACTAAATCGTGCAATGTACCATATTACATGAAATACTCATATATTAAATTTTCACTACTCAACCCCTTAATCTCAAAAACATAAAAGGAAAAGTTTAAGTATATTTTCAACAAGTAATCCATAATGTGCCTGTTAAGTGGTGAACCATAATGGAGTTGTTCCTTAAAGAAAATCCAATCTCAGTACACACATACTGAAATAGGCCATTTTTTAAAGCCTGCCTAATTACTCTTTGGCCTAAACAAGAAATGCATGTTGGAATCGCTTTCTTCTTTTTTTCAAGGTCAATACTATTTTAGTGCAAACAAATGCATCGTGTTATTCCATAATCAAAAGTCAAAACATTCTTGGTTGTAGATCCCCTAGCTAAGGAAGGAATTTTGGTTTCTTCTCTATTTGATTCGACTCCCTTCTTCTTGAAGGACCTAGTGTTTAAAGATTATATAGGACTCCAGTCCCTATGTATTGTTGATATTTAGTGTGTATTTAGATTAAAAAAATCTATAATTAAAGTTAAAAATTAACTGAAGTTAACAAATTGAGGTTAAGAGAAATGTCTGTAATTATAACATAATTTATGTTTAAATATCTTTTTTTTTAAAAGTCAGTTGGTCAAACTAAAATTTGTTTGGATGATTTGATTTAAAAGTCAGTTGAGATGTATAATTACAAAAATGAACATGAATTTTGTTCTATATATTTTTATGTCTAATATGATATTTTTAGAAAAAAATTAAACTTAAAATTACAAGTTTTCAAAAAAGTAGATTACAAGTATAAAATATTTAGTTATGGTAATTTTATGAATATTAATATATTTGCATAAGTATAACATTTTGTTAAAAAGTATAACATTTTGTTCCAACCTTGTTGGGCAAAAAATATGGAAAAATATAAATTTGGATCCTTGCAATTTACTCAAATTTTGTTGTAGGTCCCTATATTTTTTTATATTTTAAATCCCTACACTTTTTATTTTTGATATTTCAGGTACCTCAATGAGCGGTGTTATAGGGATCTAGAATACTAAAAAAAAGTGTTGGGATTTAGAACATTCAAAAAAAGTGTAAGGACTTAAAATTTAAGAAAAGTACGGGGATCTAAAGTTATGTTTTCTTTAAAAAAATATATTAAACTAAATTATGAGTCATGCCATTTTATTTTAATTTATTATTCATATATGGTAAATGTGATTTGTATTGGGCTTTGTTAGCGTATTTATTCTATTATTATGTTTCAACGTGCATTTTTTATCATTTGAAAATTGTTTTATTCAATGAATTAATTGTATTTGGTCAAAAAAAAAGAATTAATTGTAAAAAATGAGAAAATACATGTGGCATGTCAAAAGGGTTTGAAGGACAAAATTACTATAGTGAGAAACAGGAGACATGTGCTGAATATTGGATAAAAGTTGAAAAATGATAGTCAGAAAAGGGGATGAAAAGCAACGAAGAGAGAGAAGACGAGATGATTAAAAGTGAAAGACGCTCATTTTCTGTGAACGCTCGATAAAAAAGCTACCTCATCTAGCTTTGTTATAAACACTCGTTGTCCATAAACGCTCGTTCAATTTTTTGGTTAATCCAAACAAGATTTCATGAGCTTTTAACATCTTAACTTAAATTTAGATCACCTCAATCTCAATTGAAAGATAATCCAAACATATCCTTAATTTTTTTGTAATTTGAGCTTCGCCCTCATTTTTATATTAAAAAAAAAGTCAAAACATTCTTAGAGAAAAATTACTCTTTATTGGGGTGGGAAAATATTTCTGATGTCCCAAAAAACGGAAAAAAAAAAAACTTCAATGAAAATGAGTTTTCAAATATTCTGGGGAGAATTAATCTCCCAGTTATAATTTCACCAAACTTTTAATTTAGATCCTTACAATTTTTTTACTTTTATTTGGGTCCTTATGGTTTCCACCGTTATAAACGTTAACCCCTATGGTCAAAATCTATTAATTTCAGGGTGTGAACCGAGATTACCAACTGCTAAGGCAGCGAATGGAGGATGAATAGTCTTCAACTTAGCGCACACATAGATTAAAATTGGTGACTTCATTTTTTAAAAAAGAAAAAAGAAATTTAAAAAAAGAAGAAAGAAAAAACAATAGCTTTTCACAGGCTCCGCAGATAACAAGAAAAATCATGGGCTAGGGTTCTAACCGTGAAAGGGAGAAGAGCGAAATTGTTGGGGAGAAGCAAAAGCTTTCGAGCAGGTGGGTTACATCTTCTTAGCCATCACTCTCCCGAGTTTAATCTTCTTAAATAAGGTGGTGGTTTCACTACTTTTCTTTTTGTTTTTGTTTTTTCTCAAGTCAATGTGGCAATTTTAGTCTAGGTATCACGAAGTCTAATTATTCTTTGTTAGCGAACTCAACAGTCACTTGTGCACTTACTTTGAAGTTAATAGGTTTTAATTATAAGGATTAGCATTTATAACAAAAGAAACTACAAGGACAAAAAAAAAATTAAAAACTATAAGGACCTGGTTAAAAAAAGGAATGAAGTTATAAGAATGGAGGGATTATTTTTTCCAATATTATTTTTTTACCAACTCCAAATATGTTATTATAAATTAGGATTAATAAATATCTAGATTTTAAATTATTGCCCGAATAATATCATGAACCCTGAACTCTTAAAATATGCAAAAAATTTCTTAATTTTTAAATTTTAAGTACCTAAAACTCTGTTATTAAGTTAAAGAAAATGAATATTACTTTTGTAGTTGTGAGCTAAGTCGCATGCTAATATTGCAAGTTTTCTCCAACTATAAAAGTGACGGCTGTGTTTTTTCAACTTAACGACGGGATTTTAAATACTTAAAATTGAAAAATTAAAAGGAACTTTTATATATTTTAAAAGTTCTAGCTTAATATTAACCCATATAGACTATTGTCTTACATGAGACGTCCAAGATTTATCCATTCAAGGTTTTTTTAACTAAGCGATACTTCCCCAGGCATGCAATCAATTTATTTTTTCAGGGATTGATGATAACCTTAATTATTACTATGTAGTAAATGTCTAAGTCATTATTTTTTCTTTTTTTACTGTGTTTATATGTACAAGGATTGGGTTGAAACCTTCATTTCTTCAACATAATTCAATATTGAATTGAATTATAATGATTAAATTATCCTTTGTTTTAAAATAAAAACAACAAGTTTATGTGGAAAGTTATAATTTTTTATTTAACTTTTATGATTTATAGAATAAAAATTATAATTACTTAAATAAAAGTAGTAACTAGTTATTTTAAGAATTTGAACTTTGATGATAAAAGATATTTCAGTTGTAATTTCTTATTTAATTCTTGCGATTCATATAATAAAAGTTGTGATTACTTAAATAAAAGTTGTGATTAATTATTTTTAGCACTTGGATTTCAATGATAGAATAAATCTTATGTGAAAAGTTGTGATTTTTTGTTAAATTTTTGTGATTTACAAAATCAAAATTATGATTGGTCATTTTTAAGAAGTTTGTATATCAATCATAAAAGTAATGTCATATGAAAAATTGTGATTTCTTATTTAATTTTTATAATTCACATAATAAAAGTTGTAATTGCTTAAATAAAAGTTGTGATTGAGAAAATAAAATCAGACTTATTATTTTTATTTTAAACAAGGAATAATTTAGTTATTTAACTTAAAATCACTAATGTTAGAAACATATCCAAAAACTTCAAAAAAATTATGACATTTTAGGAAACTTGAATGTCATTTACATATTTAATTAGAATTTTACTATTATTTTTCCTACTTTCAATATAACTTGCCTAAAATTTAATGATTCCCAACTTCATTCCTGTTAAATACACATACATTAAAAATATACTCTTTTCTATCAACATTTAATGAAAGGTAAAAGAAAAAAATTATGATGAAAACTTAATGACATAACTTATACTCTTTCCGTTAAAAAATATAAGGTATTTTTAACAAAATTTTATCTAATAAAGTAGTTAATTCTTTTCAAACTAACACATTCTTTTCATATTTATACTTATTTAATGGGTTAAAAAAACATTAATTATAACTTAAATTATTAAAAATGTCTTATATTTTTAACATATATAACTCTTAAAAAAATACTTTACATATTTTAATAGAGAAAGTAAATATGATAAACAAAATTCTTATTTTTCTATCTTATAGATAGAACTAGAGAGAGTTGATATCAATATTTTATTTATTACAAATTAAAACATTTTAAAATTATATTGAACAAGATTGTTAAGTATATCTATAATTATTATTTGAGCTTGAAATTGTAATTTTTTGGCTAAATAAAAAAGAAAAGAAAAGGATTCCTTCACGATTAATTTCCTGGAAAAATCGACAGAAAATGAAAGCTTTGCTTCTTAGTCAATGACAATGACAAGTGATTTCCTTGGCGAGGCTGCCTGCTCTTAAAAATTACAGCGCACTTTGGCACCATGATTTCCACGAAACTTCTAGGAAGTTACGTAGAAGAAGAACACCTTCAAGTTCAACATGATTATTTATTTATTTTCTTGCCATGATTACCGGGCATCTCACGATTCCACTCTTTCCTCTGTTTGTGGTTAAACTGTTCTTCTTGGTGGTGTATGCCTTCAACTTTTTCAAAAGATTTCTCAACTAACCGCGCTCTTCAACAAGAGTTTCAGAAGATCTATGCCCATTCAAGCGTCTTCTTCTGTTCGGGTTTACTTCTTTTCTCTACTCTTTCTTGCTTTCTGGAGTTGCAGGTATTTATATTTTCACCTTCTCCTTTGATATCATCGTCTTTTCTTGTTAAATTTTAACACTGTTTGCTGTTAGAGATTTCCTCTCAGTCTATACCTTCCCATTCTTTGAAATTTTCTCAAGTAAACGCCTCCTTCCAGAAGAATTTCATAAGATATCTGCCCACCCAAAAGTGCTCATCATTTATAGTTTGCTGCTTATATCTGAATTTTGAACTTGTTTTCTGGGGTTTCAGGAACATACATTTTTAGTTTAATAATTATTCTTCCATGCTGTACTGAGATCAGAATGGCTAGCCAAGAAATGGACGTGGTCGTTGCTGCTTCTGCTTCATCCTCTTCCTCTGCTCCAATTCCTCGAAAGAAATATGATGTTTTTATCAGTTTCAGAGGTGAAGACACCCGCAACAATTTCGTTAGCCATCTTCATGAAGCTCTCAAAAGAAACAAAATCGACACATACATCGACGATGGAATTGACAAAGGAGATGACGTGTGGGCAGCACTTGTCGAAGCCATTGAAGAGTCCATTCTATTCTTGATTGTCTTCTCAGAAAACTACGCATTTTCCACGTGGTGCTTGAACGAGCTCACCAAAATACTGGAGTGTACTCAACATCAGGACCATCTTGTGCTTCCAATATTTTATAAGACTGACCCATCACATGTCCGTAAGCAGACTGGAACTTATCAGTTAGCCTTTAAAAAGCATGAGAACAGCAACCAGAAGCAGCACGTGCCCAAGTGGAGGGCTGCTCTCACACGAGCGGCCAATTTATCTGGCTGGCCTTGTGGAGCCGAGAGGTAACTATTCTCTACTACGCTCTTCTCAAAGCCTTACATTATGAGTGTTCTTAAATATAATTTCACTGGAACAGGAATGAAGCAGAGCTTGTTAGAGGGATTGTCAAATGTGTTTCGATGAAGCTGGACTCTAAGTACACTAGTGAGTCAAGTGGGCTTGTTAGTGTTCAACAGCGAATTGCAGGTCTAGAATCTTTATTGTTCCATGCTTCAGAAGATGTTCGAATCATTGGAATTTGGGGCATGGGCGGGATTGGCAAGACAACCCTTGCAGGTGAAGTATTTCACAAATGGCGTTTTGAATATGAAGGAAGTTGTTTTTTGGCAAATGTAAGGGAAGAATCACATAGATACGGGATAACTCACATGAGGCATAAACTTCTTTCCGCCTTATTAGATGATGGTGACCCCCATGGTTGCATGCCCCATGTAGAAACTTCGTTTGCCATGAGGAGACTTAGTCGAAAAAAGGTTCTTATAGTTCTTGATGATGTGGACAATGCATGGCAAATAGAAAAGTTGGCTGGATCACATTCTTGGTTTGGACGGGGGAGTAGAATTATAATAACAACAAGAGATAAGCAAGTGATTAAGGATGCAGATTATATATATGAGGTTCAGGCATTGCGCTTTAATGAAGCTATTCAACTGTTCTATTTGAATGCTTTTAAAAATAATAGCATCGATCCAGTGTTTGAAGACTTGTCTGAGAGGGTAGTTGATTATACTAAAGGCAATCCCTTGGCAATAAAAGTTCTGGCTTCCCATCTTTGTGGCAAAGGTAAAAGAGAATGGGAAAGCCAGCTGGAGAAACTTCAAAAAATACCTGACAAAGAAATTCAACAAGCGTTGAGAGTAAGTTTTTCTGGGCTAGATCGTGTAGAGCAAAATCTCCTTTTGGATATTGCTTGTTTTTTCATAGGAAGAAGAGTTAAGGATATAAAATCTGTCTTAGATGCTGCTGGTTATTCAACTATTATTGGGTTAGAAAGGCTTCAAGACAAAGCGCTTTTGACTATTTCTAATGGATATGTCGAGATGCACAGCTTGATACAAGACATGGGTAGGGAAATTGTTCGTGAAGAACCTAATGAAGACCCTGAAAAATGTAGCCGATTGTGGGATTATAATGATATTTATCAAGTGTTGAGAGATAACTTGGTAAGAGTGAATTTTGCATAAATTTAAAATTATTGAGACTTTTTTATGTAGTTTTCATATTATACACTATGTTTGCAGGGAACTGAAGCCGTTAGAGGCCTTACTTTGAATCGTTCACAAATTATTGGAGATCTGCACTTGAGTCCTCAAGTCTTTGGAAGGATGCGCAAGCTTAAATTTCTTGAGATCTACTCCAGTGATCATGAACAGCGAAAGGTCTTGCATTTTCCTGGAGGCCTGCAGTCGCTGCCTAATCAACTAAGGTATTTACATTGGGAAGGATATCCTTTAAAATCATTGCCGTCAACATTTTCTGCAGAAAACCTAGTCTCACTTCAACTGGAAAATAGCCAACTGAGACACCTTTGGCATGGAACTAAGGTATACTACATAGATATTTGTATGTTTTTTTTTTTTTTGGTTAATTTCATTTTTTTCAATTGGCAAGATGATAATCTCTCTTGCAACTAAAAAAAAATAATCATACATATGTTATTTTGGCCAAAGAAAATTCAAATGTTACTTGAATATGCTGCTTTCAATTTCCTTTCAAAGGGCAAGAATGTTTTTTAATCCTCGAATAACACAATAGACAACACATTTGTGCACACTGAAGTATTATTGACCTTAAAGAGAAGAAGAAGGAAGGTAGTTGAATATGCATTTTTCTTTTGATTTTTTTTTTTTAAGAATTACTATAAGGTCCCACTCAATATATTTAATTACTCTAAGGTCTTTTAACAATTAGGTTGATGTTATTCCCTTTACTTCAATTGTTAAAGTATCTTCAACTAATTAATTGTGTTGTATATGACTTGTATGTGATCCTTCTTCTTCTTTGTTTCTTTTAATAACATATGAACCGACGGTTCCTACTAAATCCCAATCCAAGTTGATTCATAGTTCAAGACTCCAGAACCAAGTTGCTGCCAGATTAGCTAAAGAGGCTCTAAAAGTCTCTTCCTTTTTAGATATTGTTCCTTTGTTTCTGAAGGATCTTGTGCTTAATGATTGTGTGAGATTTTACTCCCCTTTCTACTTAGTTAGTTAAATGGTACGGGCTTTGCCCTCTTTTCTATCAAAAAACAAAAATCCCAATCCAAATACTACTTGGGCCCAGGAGTAATCAAGTAGGCTACAAATAAATGGTCGTTGAAATAATTATGCAGTGAAATTGGATTTGCCTCAGAGAACAAGCCTCCATTCAAGAAATCCATAGATATAGTGGGATGAAAATACATAGCACTTTGGTACCATGATTCCCGTGAAACTTCCGGGAAGTTACGCTGACGAACATTTTCAACATTTTTATTATTATTATTTACAACGATTATACCGCCATGTCCGATGGATGATGGTCGCCGTTGTTAGACTTTTTTTCTTGGCAATTCGTACATGCCTTCATCATCTTCAGAAGATTTCTCAAGTCAACGTACCCTTCAAGAAGAGTTACAGGAAGATCTCTGCCCACCGCAGCCAAGCGCGTTCTTCTGATCCAGGTTATTGCTTATCTGAATTTTGCTCTCTTTTTTCTGGAGTTACAGGTGTATATATTTTGATAATCTCTTTTGATATCACTATCATGTTAAATTTTAACACGATAGGATAGGATGGTCCCTGTTTTCTGTCGGATTTTTCTTCTCGGTGGATTCCTTCTCCTTAGAAATTTTGTCAAGTCAAAGGAAGTTTGATAAGATCTCTGTCCAGCTGAGCCTGTTCCTCCTTTTGAGTTTACTGCTTATCTGAGTTTTGAACTTGTTTTCTCGGGTTTCAGGTATCATGTTTTGAACATCTCCTTGGATATCACTGTCTGTGTATTAGTATGACCCTAGCAGCGGAAGTAACGTAGTTGGTTAGGGTTCGGATAGCAAAGTTAATTTATTGTTATCATTAAATTGGCATATAACTACATTTTTTCAGAGTTTGACTTGTATAATCATGCAGACCTCATGTACAGTTGGCAATTAATACAAAAATACCTTTTCAACTTTCCTCTCTCTCTCTCATCCATTCGGTGATAATTAGTCTAATAATTATTGTTAGGAAGTGTGCAATAACAACGATAAACAAGATAAAATAATTAAAAATTATAAAGATATTAGAAAAAAAGGATAAAAGATGAAACTGTAAATTTAACTGGAAAAACCTTAATGTGAGACAAAAAATTCAATGATAACAAGCGAGTAATTTCATTATAAAAAAGGAGAATTATAATAATTATTTTTGTTATGAATGATGGAGAGACAATATATATATATATATATATAATTTTTCATCAACTAAAATTATTATCTTGGATAATAATTAATAAATATCTCTTGAAATATCATATAAAAATATGATAGATAATATATAAAAATAATTATAAAGAATTATAAAGATTTGAGTCGTAATCTCAACAATTATTCTTCCATGATGTAGTGAGATCAGAATCACAGAATGGCTTCGAAAGAAGGATGTGGTTGAATTGTACAAACTAGATGAACTTGGTATGTCTGCTATGATCGCCATCCACAAATTAATGGACCTGAGTTTTGCTGCCAGGATCAACTTGCGAAGGTAATTAAATGTGTATCTGCAATATTATTACCTTCAAATTCACGCTCAGGCTTTTGATCTTCTCACATTTGAGTTTTGCTTGTTTAAGCAGGACTGGTGGTAGCGATCTGGACAATTACTACAATAACCACTTGCTCATGCAGCATGGTCTTTTGAGAGAGCTAGCCATCCGTACAAGCAACAGGGAACCAGCTGAGAGTAAGAGAAGACTGATCCTTGACATGTTTGGAAATCATCAGCATCCTGAGTGGTGGCCCAAGCACAGAGTAGATGCTCCTATACTGTCAATGTCAACTGGTTTGTTTAATTACCTCTTTCCATCTCTATTATTGTCTTACTTATGCACAATCTCACGCAGGTTACAATCGAAATCAATATAAGATAGCTTTTAGTGCTATGCCATTCACCTTCTTCCACATTTTTTATACATATCAAAACACTGCTCCAGAATGGTTCAAAAATCAAGCAGCTGGTGCTGTGGTTGTGATTTTGAATCTTAAGACTAGAGAATTCAAGTTGCCTGAATCCATTAAAAAAATGAGAAACCTGAGGGTTCTTATTCTCACCGATTATGGCGTGGAATATCAAACTGAATTCACAAACCCAGGGCTGTTTACTTCTCTAGGGAAACTGAGGAGGATCAAATTGCAGCAGGTTTCACTTTCTTACCCGTGCAAACTGAAGAACGTGCACAAGTTATGTCTTTACATGTGTAAAGTGAGGGAGGCTTTTGAAAACAACTCTATGGAATTCTCAAAAGCAATGCCGACTCTGGTGGAGCTGAACATTGATTATTGCAAAGATTTAGTGGGATTGCCTGTTGGGTTTTGCAATATAGCCACCCTGAAGAAGCTTAGCATCTGTAGTTGCCCCAAGTTTTTTGAACTTCCCCAAGAAATTGGGAAGCTTGAGAAGTTGGAATTGCTAAGAATTAGTCACTTCGCTGAGTTTAAGGAGATGCCAGAGTGAATCACCAAGTTGACGCGTCTAACCTTTCTGGACATCTCATACTGCATATTGCTTAAAGCTAATGAGCCTAAAACAGCTGTATATGACGGATTGTCCGGTAAATGAATTGCCAGAGTCGGTCGTCCATATGAAACATTTAAAGAGTGTGATATGCGACAAAGATAGTTATGTTTATTGGGACGTTATCGAATCTAATGTCAATAGAGGACTAAACATAAAGAAGGCCGTGGGCGATGAAGACTTAAATTTTCTTTCCTGATGATCCTTCCTCAAGCTTCAACCTTTGACTTTGTGAGTTCCCAAAGCTGTTTTTTCTTGAGTCTTGAGTCATGTTGAGACATTGCTTTCCCTGCTTTCGGTCGATTGGCTTGTCTGTTTGCTTGTTTTCTTGGTTGTCCTAGTTTGAACAAATCATCATCATTGCAGATAAACTTGTACAAGAGACTGCTCGTTCAGAGGGTCTGACATGCGATGACCATGCATACCATCCTGCCATTTATGGTGCTTAATTAATGCATTGAAATAATATTGATTATGGTATTTCAGATATTTGTATTTACTGTAAACTCTGTCCCTCTGTCTCAAAACATGTCTTTTTAATTAGGAGAACTTTTTGTCCATTATACATGTCATTTTATAAATTTAAAATAGTACTATTTATTAATATTTTCTTTCATATTAATCTTATTTATTCTAGCAGTTACAAAGATCATTTATTAGGTTTTAGAAATAGATTTGGTAATGTGGTTAATATTTTGCGGTGTTGATTACAAATCAGGTTGTTGAAACCTTAAAAGATTTATATAATTTGAAACAGATAGAGGAAATAAAATTTAGAAATTTAAAATCATCAGGACTATATGACAAAAATTAATAAGGCTATCATTTTAGTGTCTGTTTGGATTAAAAAATTTACAACTAAGGTTAGGATTCAACTCATGTTAGTAAATTGAGGTTAGAAAAAAAGTTAGTTGATGTAACGTAATTTATGTTTGAATATTTTGTTTTTTTCAAAAGTTAGTTAGATAAACTAAAATTCATTTAAAGAATTTGATTCAAAAGCCAGTTGAGATATTTAATGGCAAAAACAGACATGAATTTTTTATCTTAAATATTAAATCTTAAATAAGCATGTTTATATTTTTTTGACTAACTAATAAGTAAAAAATATTAAATTTAAAATCACAACTAATAAGTAAAATATCTTAAATATTCAATCATGAAAACCTAAAATAAATTAATATTCAATTGATATGATTTACGAGTTGATCTCTAATTATATCACGAATACGCTGCATTTGTCTTGATGATTCGGGTAGATTTGATGAGGATGCCTTACCAATATCGGTATCTTCTTCATGGACATCTATACTTTCATCTTTAGTTTGTATGAACTGCTTCTCAGTAATTGAATTTCTCCTAATAAAGTTTTGTATTGCCATTGTTGCACAAACAATTTGAACTTGTGTTTTATCTTTAAATTTGGGCATTTTTCATATAATTGCAAACCTATTCTTTCACACTTCAAAAGTTCTTTCTATAGTGCATCTCAAACTTGAATAATAATAATTAAAGATCTTATTATTGTTTGCAAATCCTGCAACTTGTCTGAAGTCTAGAAGGTGATAACGTTCGCAATGATATGGACCAAGATGCCCATTTAGTGTTGGATAACCAAAATCAACCAAATAATATTTACCTATTAAATGAAAGGAAGTGTTGGTAAATTTGACCAACATTAAATCAATGCAATAATAATTATAATGACTTTAATAAAATATACCTGGACGTGGATGCGAAAAATGCATTGAAGGAGTTGATATAGCATTATCAAATACTCAGGCATCATGAGCTGTACCTTTCCATCCCACAATAACAAAAGTAAAACACATGTCTTAATCACATACAGCCATAACATCCTGTGGTGCATATCCCTTTCTTCCAATAAATTTGATTTGATCAACAATACTAAACATGCATAGCACATGAGTGCCATTAATTGCTCCCATAGTATCCTTAAAAAATGGCCAATACTGTGGATCATTTTGAATTTTTGAATGACATCATTGAAATAAAGGATCAAGTGACTTTATGTTTGCCTTGGAAAGGTTAAGGCAAGCAGCTAATACTTTATGAAAATTTCTATAGACAGTTTCCCCTAAATGTTGAAATCGTTCTTGTATCTTCCTATTACCAACTCCATGTCCAACTGTATTTAAAAACATTCCAACTATTTCTTCAATTCTCATTTTTTTAGACTTCTTTAGACCAAGATCAACTAATGTTGCACATAGTTGCCTAAACAAATATTTTTCCATTCAAAACATTTCATAACAACAATCAGGATAACCTTGTAAAATCTCATTGACCCACATTTGCCCTATTTTCCTGTTAGTTCTTCGTGGCTTTTTACACACATATGGCATCACATATTCATTAACTAATTGACATATTTCTTCTTGCTTAGTTATATCTTGTTGTAACAAGGGAAGTAGTTGATGAGCCACATCTACATCCCAACATTCATTCCAACATAACATATATTCATTCGAATCTTCCATGATTTTTCAACCTAAGGTAAAATAGTATGTAAATATCATTTGTATATAATATAAAATACATAGTATATAAATATCATTCAACAACATAAAAATAAAACATAAGAAAAGCATTAGATAAGAGTTAACTATTCACTACAAACTAAGTCACCATAAGCATAGCAAGGTACAAGTCAAAATAATGCAACTACAAGTCAAACACAAGTCAAGTTATCATAAGCCTAGACAAAAATTCATCCTAGTGTATTCTTTGAAATAAAATCTGGTAGATGGTAGACTTGATACTTCAACCAATTAACCAAGTGATTAGGATGATCTTTAAGTTGCCAATAAGCATCTCGTATAGGCTTGTACAGAACGAGATTGACACATCTCCAATGCAAATCTTTATTACCAAAAACTTCTAGAAGTCCATTTAGGTGAGCCACAACCTCAAAAACTCATATGTCATTTTTTAAAATTTTGTTCATTGTCTATGTTTTAGCTTTATTATCCTTAGCAATTTCACTCATCGCATCTGCTATTTTCATTGAGGCAGAGACTTTTTGCTTTTTTCTCCCACCAACTCCTACAACCCTCTTTCTCTTGCTTTGACTTCCATTGCCACTAGTTCCATCATTATTTGCGGTGACATTCAAGCCCAACAGCTCATCAGTGACCCCCATAGGTGCTGCGGTGTTAGATAAATTTAGCTCCTCTTCACTATCACCGGAGCCTTCTTGAAGGTCAATAGTGGGGCAGTACACATCCTCATCATCATCGTCCTCTATTTGAGTCTGGGTAGAAGATGGTACAAAAAGTGTCTCCCCAGTTGCCAGGACATCCTTAAATATCAAGGTTAATTCCCTTACAAATCTCAAGCCTTTATATCTAAATTTTCTATATAAGGGATTTTTCTACAACCATTCAAGTAACTAACAATTAAAATTCTCAAATTAAATTCTAATCTAAAAAGCACTTAACAACTAATCCACACCAAGATTTTTTGCTCCCACCACTCATCTGGAGTATTGACAATATTCTTGTCACTGTCCTATCCTAAGTCGATTTTACTTGAAAATAACTTATGTCATATGTTTCATTCTTTCTTCATGTTGTCTAGCTTATTTTTCAAGTGCTTTTGCTCATACCTTTTTCCTATTTTTGCCTCAAATTCCTCAATTATTGCTTGCCACTCATTTTTGTTGAAAGCAGTTCCTTTCCTTTATTTCTTGTACACTTCTCCCAAGCATTCTTTAATGAAAATTTCTATCAAAGTTGGATTCCACACTGCTTTTCCTTTGTCTCTATTTATTGTTTTATAAACTAGCCAGCCATCACAAACATGGAAATCAATAAATATCTCTGCATATGTGTATCAATTTACCTAAAGATTCGTATTTTTAGTTTGGCATTTTTCAAATTCATGGAGTCGTTTTATCAATAAATTCCTTAGAAGAGAGCTATATGCCATATTTTCAAATATATCAATCAAGTCAATGACATTAAACTGATAACTCGCCCCAAATAAACATCAATTAAAGGTTGAGGTGAGATATAACGTGTCAGGGTTGAATTACCACCCCATCCCATTCTTTACTATACAGGTCATGGATTTCCCATATTCTTCTCTCCTGCCACAAAAAGAAAAAATTCTCCTACTCTCCTATAGCTGTTTTTTTATCTCTCAATAGAAGATATAGCAGTGTTCTAGGATACAATACAATTAAATATTATATCTACCCATCGTTTTCCATCCATTTTCTTTACTTTTAATTATGCAGGCCACAGACAGAATTACCCACATTCAATGAAACCATGTGCTCTTTAAGAAAAAAAATACTTTAACGTACTAAGAAAAATTTCTCAAGTTTCAAATTGCTTTTTCAAGGAACCCAAATTTTCAGCAAGTCATAAATAAAGCCTAGACCCCAAGAATGATCAATTTCAAAGTTGCTTCAAAACAACTACAACTTTAGTGCAAAAAGTCCAGAAACAGCCACCGACGATCATTTTTAGAAGCAGAAAATCATCATTTCTCATTGCACATATCAATTTAGCTGAAAAAGCATATATCAATTCTCATCGCAGGGGATTAAAAAACAAAATGACAATCTCAAGTTCCAAAAACATCCATCGAGGATCATCACCAAGCATTCAGGTTAAGCAAGAAAAAATGAGGTAAAGAAGGAATAACAGAACATGGCAGGAAGGAAGGCAAGGAAGAAGACGAAAAGAATAATCTTACTTGGCAAGAACAGGCGATGGGGAGTAGATCCAGCTATGGGAAGTGTAGATCTGACACCGTGAAAGCTAGAAAGGATGGTAGAGAGCTGGAGATCAGTCGGAGGTTACTTGGTGCTTCAACACAGTGGAGATGAGCTACTAGACGACGTCACCTGACTAACAGAAGGAAGAAGTAGATTTATGAGGTGTATAGCGAGCGTTCTAAAGGTATCGAAATTTAAAATGTGAGTTTTGAAGATGAGCTGTTGGACAGCGTCGCTTGACTAATGGAAGGAAGAAGCAGATCTGTGAGGTGTATAACGAGTGTTCTAAAGGAAGAAGCATATCTGTGAGTTTTGAGGTAGCTTGGGAGGTCACGGATAAAAAGTAGCATGCACAAAGGTAAGGCACAACTCAAGTAGATAAAAAGCAAGAGAGAGAAAGCATCAACATTAATGCGCGTTTACATGCTAACTAAGGTTGAAAAATTATGTTAATTCAAACAAGATTTTTTTAA